AAACACTTAGTACAGGAACAGTAGCAGGTCGTAAAAAGGTAAATTAATTTATTTAATTTTTATAATAATTAATTATTAATTTATATTACTTATTTTTTTTAATATTATAAGATAAAAATCAACTTTCAATTCTTTTTTGTGCCAATGCTACAGGTTCTCATAAATTTTAGCCTCTTGTAATTGAAAAATCACTAAATCCCGATGCTTTAAAAATATCAACAAATCTGCTCTTCTTGCAATTTATCGTGCTAATTCAAAGGCATAGATGAGATCAGATATATTTGTTGAATAGTTTAAAAATTTAGATCATTATTTTCGTTCAATAGATCGAAAAATCTTGCTTCTTATTGATAATGCAAGATCTCATTTTAATCCAAAAAAACTTGAGCAAAATAATGATGATGATAATAATATGGATATTAGTGATAATGATTTTAATAATAGTGAACAAGAAGAATCTAATCAAAATTATAATAAGAAGAGAAAAATAAATAAAAAAAAGAAAAAAAAAATCAGAGATTTATCTTACTAATATTAAACTTATTTACCTTCCACCTAATACTACTGCTCACTTTCAGCCTATAAATACGAGAATTATTCATAGCTTTAAAGCTAAATATAAATGTAAGTTTTGTAATCATATTATTAGCCAATTTGATTCTGGAATAGATCACACAAAGTAAGTTGTAGATTTATTAATATTATATTTATTTTTAAATAATAAATAATACAATTTATGATTTTTTATTAGAAATAAATTAAATATCAAGGAAGCTATTGATTATATAGCTGAGGCATAGGATAATGTTACTCAAATAACAATTCGAAACTGCTGGATTAAAACAGGAATCCTTCTATCTTCTGATTTTATTGTAGATGATATTGATATGCAAGATTTTGAGATAGATGAAATTGATATCAATCATTTACCAGAAGCTAATAGATTAAAAGAATTTTTTCAGATGTTTGATCATGAAATTCCAACTGAAGAATATCTGACTAATGATCAAATTATTAATTTAGTACAAGACGAAACAGAAGGTATTAAAAGTGATGATGATGTTTTAAATGAAGAAATACTGTTAATAATAGCAGAAAAAGGTGTTAATGTAATTAAAATATTTATTAATTATTTTGAACAGCAAGATGATTCAGAATTTAATGTTGATGATTTGTGTATTTTTCGAAAATATTTACGAATTGTTAGAGTTAAAGCTGTTAATTTGAAAAGTCAAAGTACACTTGATAATTTTTTGAGAAATAATTAGTTTGTGATCTTTATAATATAATAGGATAATAATAATTATAATACTTAATATAATTTTGTTTTAAATAAAGGGGCTTGCATATACAAATTTATATGCATTTTTTGTGTATATGATCGTGTAAGTTAAAAAGATATATATTAGGCTTAAGTTTCTTAGGATGGATGGTTAGGGTGGAAGAAAGGATAGTTTAAATTTTTTTTTGTAAATGTAATTTTACATAATTTTTGTAAAAGATAAACAATTTTGGCTTTATTTTATATAAAAACTTTTTTTGATTTTTTTTTTATATGTTAATAATATAAATGATTTTACAAATATAATCACATCAATGAAAAATTTTATTATGTATGTGATTATATAGCAAAACCCTTATTATAAGTACACCTTACTATAATCACACCATTTAGTGATCCTGAGCAGTGTGATTATAAAGGAGGACGACTATACAGATAAATTACTTACTGAAGAAAAAGGATAAATTACTTACCAAAGGAAAAGGATAAACAATTACCAAATGTTAACCAACTTCTAAATAAAGAAAACAAAAGAAATTTCAAAAAGAAAATATGATATCATAAATTATATTATTAATAAAAGTAACAGAATATTTAGATTAGAAATAATAGAATTAATAGAATAATTAAATTGAAAATAATAGAAATGTCAGATTAATTAAAATAAAAAAACCAGAGATATTAAAAAACAAAAATAGAAAATAATAATAATAACGGAAACTAGAAAAGAATTTTACAGAAATTATAGAAATGTTAGAAAGAAAAATAGGAAATTACAGAAAACCTAAAAATAGAAATTAGGAAATTTTAGGAACTACAAAAATAGGAAATCAAGAAATTATAGGATTTACAAAAATGATCTACATAAATTTTATATAAATATAATAGAATTTCTTCATAAAAAATATAAGGAAAACTCTTTCTGCTAATCACTAAAAAATGCCCAAAAAAAATCAAAAATCTAACAACTGTGATCACTCTGTGTTGCCAGTTAAAGAAAATCTACCATCACAAAAAAGATAGAACACCACTCAAATAACTGAACAAGAAGCCGTTGTTGAAAGTTCTACTATTACACAACCTCTTGTTGTTACTATGAAAGTTAACCAAACATCTGATACTTCACCTTTGCCTTTTGATAAAGTGAAAAATAAAGAAACTGATACAATTACTAAAATTACAACCAACAACAAAAAAGATAAAATGAACGTCAACGGTCCTTCTGACGTGTCTGAAAATACTATTGACATTACTTTAGTAGCATTTGCTACACCACTCCTTAGTGCTAAAAAATTTTTCATGTATTAAAGCTAACCCCAACAGAAGATCACTGAAATCACTGACAAATATTGTTTCAACTATACTTTCTTTTCTGGAATCACATGTGGAAAACTTCCTACTGATCCTTCAATCAACATTCTCAAGGTTGTCTTTTTAGACTCCAACAAACGTGATGATCTTTGTAAAATGCAGATTTCTAATACAGACAAAGTCACATTTTTACTCCTGATTGTATAAAAATTGTACCCTTTCATATCTGCACAGTCGATCACAGTAACTGAGATCCCGTTAGATTTTATGGTTACATAAATTAAAAAATTTTTTTCTCATTATAGTAACATTGTACGTTGCACTATAGAAACTAGAAACTTGTAGCAATGTACTACTATTACCTTTGACGATAAAGCCAAATTTGACCTTCTTTAAGTGACTGATAGATTGCTTATTATTAACGATTCTGTTCGAATTCATATGTGTGACTAGAACAGAAATAAAATCTAAGATCATTTTAAATTCTCAAAAAAACTAACTAATCTTTCATGAGGTACCATAGCACATGACCTTCTTGATATTGATAAGATAGTTGACCCTACCGCTTAGATTGTTCTGCAAGCAAGATCAAACTACAATTATTTATAACATGCGTACTTCTATTTTTATAATGCTGATGAAACTGATATCGCAATTGCGATAGATAAACTCACACTTAATAATAAAAAATTAGAATAGACTGATACAAAAATTAAACTATATGCTATTTATTTGTCAATACATTATAACACGTCTTCATACCTCAGAAAATGAAATACTCTAAAAGACAAAAACACTCAATACTCATACCAAAGGTTTCAACCAGCCCAATTTAATGGATATATCACATCTAAGAAACCTTGTGATGCTATCAGAGATAACATTATATTTGCTGACATTGCTAATCCTTTAAGCTCTAACATCAGATAACTGCAAACTCAAAACAAATAATCTCCTCCCCCTCTTCCTTTACCAAAAAAGCCTAGTATTACTCTAAGTAAAGTTATTAAAAAATTACCTATCTTAAGGTGGGAGGATGAACCAATAGATGATGATACTATTTTTAACAATATAGTGTATCCTACTCTAAATATAAAAATGGAATAGCAACAGGTAGTAATATATATTTTTGATATTCTAGAGATTTGTTATCCTAGCTATATGTTCCAGCTATATGTCCTAACTGTTTTACACTATGTCTTAAATGTCTTATCTGTTCTATTTATGTCCCATCAGCATCCCATCAGTATTCCATTAATGTCTTATAACAATACTGGCAGCAGGTGGATCAATACATGACCCTAATTTTAAGAAATTCATTACATCTCAACTTGAATCTATCACTAATACCCTTAGTAATCTTTGTTCTGCTTTTAAATTTTTACAATCTCGCCTTGAAATGGTTGAAAAGGCACTGAATATTAAAGTTACAACCCTCAAGAAGCTAAATTATTTAATAATATACTTCCAGATACTGCTACTGAAGTAAACATGAAATTTCCATTTATCAATACATCACTCTGTACTGCTCACTTATAGACAAAAACTAATGAACAACTCATCAATATTTGCTAAATATAACAACAGCGAATCTCTGAATTTACTCCAACAATTAATAAGCTGCTCAAAACTTGTTAAAACTTCCAAACTGTACTTATTAACAAAAATCTCATCAGCCAATATGACACACAAGTTTTTGACTCCTTGAATGAAGATTTTGACAAAATGACAGAATGCTACATTGGCAACTTCTCATAATAAATATAACATATATTATGAATACTGTCTTTACTGATATTTCAATAGAACCTAATGATATTTCTAATCTTATTAAAACAAAAAAATTTTTCATAACCTCACATAACGTTAGAGGATTTAATAAGCTTACTAAACAAAACATTCTTTTTTCACTTACGAAACACATAATTATGATATACTGACTCTACAAGAAATTAATTTTAAACACAATAGCGTTTCAATTTTTAATCGATTTTTCCTAAATTTTCTAACAATTTTTAGTAAAAACTGTAATATACAGTCTTATAGATTTAGAGTCAGCCTATCTTTTAGTCCTCAACTCTCCAAATACATTTTTCAACACGAATCTAAACTCAATAGAGTTATTTATGCAAAGTTACAATTCCCTGATAAACAAAAACTTATTATTATTAATGTATACATTTCCTCAGAAAAATCTAAAGAAAATATTACTAAGCAAGTCCTAAGATGTATTAAACACTTCTTGATGATGCTATTAAAAATGATTACCACATCATTCTACTTGAGATTTTAATGCAGATATAGACCGTACGAGAAATAATTCACCTTGAACTATTTCGTTTATTAATTCATTGAATCATTATAACCTTTTGATTTCTTTATCGTTTTACATGATACTAATTGATCACATTTTATCACTTTTCATCGTAATCAATCATCGTCAAAAATTGATTATATTTGGATGACACCTGAACTGGTATTTAATATGCTTGAAGCTGATGTACTACCTATTGACTCACAAATTTCTGATCATTATGTCACCACCATTAAATGTTCTAACTTTTTACAAATCAATCCTAATAGTCACAATTGTTCTACTAAATCTTTTTTTAATTATAACAAGATGGATACAAAGAAATGGATACAATTCAGAGATAAATTAGACCACACCATAAACAGTTGTACTCTTAGAAGTGTTTCTGCCGCCTCTACAACTTGGTCTCAATCCACTCTGAACAAATATAGGGATTTGTTTTAAAATACCTTAATTTTGACCTTGAACAAATACATACCTGTCAGTAAATCTAAAGTTCGTTAACTGTCTAAACAACCTATCACCCTATCTTATTTATACACAAATATCAGGTACTACAAAAATTTTCCAAATCTTTACACAAATGTTTCAAAGATAACTTTATCTCTCTCAAATGGTTTAACCTTCATGAAAAATTCCTCAAAACTGCTCAGGTTGTTCCCTGTATATTGTCTCAATAGAGCCCTTTCCTATATTAGATTAATACTACTTGACATACAATTTTTAATAGCATCTTTATAAATGAAGGCTAAACTCAAAGAACATGAATTTAAACTTTCAAGCATTCAACAAGCCCTACAAGACAGAATTGATAATTACAAATCTGATCTGAAAAAGATGATAGACTCTGTCTTAAATAGAAAAAGAAAACTTATCATCTTAGATAAATATCTCGATAACACAAGTTTCTCACTTTATTTACTCACAGATAAAACAGATGTTTGAAAGAAAGTTGCCTGACACTTTCAGCAGGTAACTGATATAACTCACGAAAATAAGTCAATCCTAAAAGAATGGACATTAACCTATCAACCTATACCTAAAATTGATTCATAAATTTACAATCATCTTATTTCAATGCCGACAGCAAATGAATGATATAGAGTTATAGATCAACTTCCAAATAATAAGGCTCCTGGCCTTCAAAGATATCTAATGAGATACTCAAACATCTTGGCCCTATAGAAAAAAAATATTTTGATATATTATTTGTGAATGTCTTCAGATATTCTCGATTCCATCAAGATGGAATATGGCCTATATTTACTTTATTCTAAAATTGAAACTATGGCAATTTGATTTGAATAATACTTAACTGATAACATTGCTTAAATGTTCAAGAAAAACTTTTACTAAACTTATGAATGCCTAGTTGACTTCTATTTTTACCAGACATAATATATTAAAAGAATTCAACTTTACTAGGCTTCCTTTCAAATCAATATTTGATTTCATTTATATAATTAATCATATTAAACAAGACGCTTTATTTAACAATCAAGAATTTTGGATACTCCTTCAGAATATGTCTAAAGCTTATGATCATTGTGATAGGTAAAATTTTAGATAGATTTAATTGGTAGAATATTAAGTTCATTTTATTGCCATATAGATCTTTTATGAAGATCAATTTGTCCATTTTATTGCCATCGATCAATTATGTAAATCATTAAATGTCAATTTTATTGCCTTTGATAATCACGTAGATCAAGATATCCATTTAGTTGCCTGCAGATCTGGCAATTTTATTGACACAGTAACTTTATTGCCTAGCAAGATGGCAACTTTATTTCCTTCAATATATTTAGTTTAGTTTATTTTATTATTTATTCAACATGTATAAATATCTCTGTA